AGTATGTGTGTTTTTTCCCTCCCCTCATCCCATCATTGAGTATTCTTTTCTCAAGTCTAAATTATGTATCTTTCTAAAAGATCATTCTGTACTTCAAACATGGCTTTTTTTTGAGCTGAATCAAGAGTTAATAGATGGAAATCCTGTGCCTGCACTGTGCAGAAGCAATGCAGCCTCTAGTCCACTTCGGCTGTGAATAACCTCACAGGTAAGGAAATGGGATTGGAAGTGGGAAAAGAACAAAAAACTAACTGCTGTGCTCTTCATGGTAGTAACTCAGTTCTTCCACTGGTGGTTTGGGTTTTTTGAGCAGGCAAAGCCCAGCTCCTTCGCAGGGCTACTTTATGAAAGGGGGCAGTGGGGCTGGGAGAGGAGGTGCTGAATGATGGTTTCCTCTGGAAGGAAGCGGGATGACAGGAGCAGCTGAGGAACAAATGCGTTCCTTGGACAGCATTGCTACTGCCTCTTTGCCAGCTGCTTCTGGAGGTCCTCTCTCCTGTTGCTTTCATGTGTTTACCCACAGGAACATTCTAGTATGTGAGTCTGTAGGGTTGGTTGTCCCTTAAAGTCTAGCCCATCTCCACTCTTGCTTTTCCTAGAGGATTTCTTTAAGGAGAAAACATGTTTAAATTGAAAAGAGGGCCTTCCTTCAGGAGTGACAGAAGTGCCCAGGACCACAATGCTAAGGTAATGATTTACCAGGAAGAAAGCTTGGGCATAAAATATCAGGCGTGGCAGCTACTTCAGTATCTGCTAATGTGCACACTTGCTCTATGGTAAATACAGCACAGTGAATGCGGTTCTGTGATTGCTGCAGAGTAGGCTTTTAGCCCTTCACATTTCTTCCTGGAGGAAAAAAGCTTGATTTTTAGGGTGACTGTCTATATTCACTTACTTTTTTTTTTTTTTTTTATGTATCTATTCAGAAGCTGTTATCCAAAGAACTTGAGTTTAGTGTAATGTCTGAGTATGCCTAAGGCTTTGTCTCCATGCAGGTAACTAAGGCAGCTATAAAACCGGAGAGGTATGCTCATTCCTGTGAGCTATTCAGCTGAGCCACCATGACTTTTCTGGTATTTTCTGCCATTCCTCTGTGCTGTCTGTCTCTTCTCAACCCTTCTTCAAGAGTATAATGCTTCTCGTTGCAGTTTTGGCTGTCCTGGACTTTCCTTGATCTGATTAGACTTATTTTCTCTACTTACTGCTTCAGCATGACTTCTGTCTCTCAGAGTAGATTTCAAGGTGTATTTCTTACCGTTGGAGGTCGTCATTTTTTGATGGCACAGTTACCTAGATATTTTTAGGTACTCAGCTTAGTTTTAGCATCTAAACAGCATGTTTGGTTTGGCTTCTGTCTCTCAGGAATAGAATGGATCTATTTGTCCGTCAGGAGCATCCATTAATATGAGGAAGGAGTCTGCCAGGAACAACTTAGTTGGCCAAGAGGTCAAAAAAAGATTTTTAGCCAGGGCAGAGAGATGCCTCAGTGACTTATCTCAGCTTTACTGTCTATAACTTTGGATTCTCTGGAAAATAGCAAAGATGTCGTTTCTTCCTGTTTAATTAATGATTCATTTGGTGAAGATACTGACATTCCACCGCCAAGCTGAAGATTTTCCTGTTGTGGTGGAATTTTTTCTCATTCAACTATAATTAGATCTTTAAAAACATAATAGACTTCTCCCTGCTCTCCCCCCCAGCCCTCCACCAGTAATGATCTGCTTCTATAGTGAGTTTGAATCTGTCCTTAATGGAAGACTCTTAAAACATTTAGTAATGTGTTCCCTCTGTTGTCTGTTCCCCAAATAGCCTTTTTGTCTTTTCTCCTAGAGCAGTAGGAGCGAGCTAGTGCGTAATAGTCTACAAAAGGGAAAATCAGCTGCCCTTAAGAAGTTTAATCTTGAATTTAATCTTAGTGTACTTGTTTGATGTTACCTTGAGGAGCAGAGAGATGCAATGTTTCATTTGAGGGTTGATTAGTTTCTTAATTATGTGTAGCGTGGCATTTCTTTCTGTGCGTTTGCATGTGAGATTCCTTGCGTGCTTGGATGTTAGGTGTGCTGTATCAAGTTATATTGACTAAATAACAGCTTCTTGCAAGGACTCTTCATCTTTTTTGTGTTGACTAAAGAGAGATCAGAGGATTATCAATTTCAGTTATGCAAAACTAAAGGTGTGAGTACATGTAATTTAATCACTTACAAAATACTTGCTGGCTTAATTAGGGTTTATTCAACCAGAGCTAAGCCACACAAATGGCTTCTCGTATGGAATTTGTCAGCTGCTGAGATCCACAGAACTGCTGACTGGAGCTGAGATTACTCTTTTAATAAATGCTGTGTCTTTACTTGGTCCTCCACAGTGCTATGGGACCTTGAGGATGGCAGGTCTGATTCCTGAACCCTGCTCCACACTTGCTGTTTTTTGGCTACTACTTAGAAGTGTGGACAATGTGTTGTGTATGTTGGCAAACATTCGAAGAAAGATGAAAGGAGACCTGTAAATGCTCTTTGAGAGGTGTTGTCTATATATACCTTCCTAACCGATCTCTTACTGTCTTGCCCAGTGCCTTGGAAAGAAATGTGGACCCTTTGGCTGAAAGAAGCTGAGTGGGAATAGCCTATCCCACCCCTTTTATAGCCTGTGAGCAATAGGCCTAGGGGCAAGAGTTTACACCAGAGCTTTCTTGGACGCTTCAGAAGTAAAATTTTCTGATTTGAATAGTGCTTCCGTATAGGTACATAGAGATAAAACATCTGAGAGGGCAGTTTAAGTAATCCATTTCCCCTTGCTGTACAGCATTTAGTGTATATCAGCAACTGTCTGCAAGTTTGGTGATGATCACTCTTGACAGTCAAGCTTTAGTAGCATACCCAGTGTTAATATTATTGCCTCCCCCTTGTTTTGCAGCAGATTTTAAGGTTTCTTTTCCACCCACTCATACCAGATTTCACATGAACTACAGAGAAGAGGAAAACTTTACTCAGCCTTTTGGTAATCACCCCACTTCTGGGCTTTCATTTGCCAGTGATCAGCACAACATATATTGCAAAAGCATATACAAGTGAATGTTATGCAAACTATTCTTTTCTAGGTGCTCTAAGTTATGTTAGGAGCAGGCATGCTTTCCCATGTGGTTGGCCCCAGTGTATGTGTTTAGCAAAGATGATAAACTGACTGATGGCATGTATGTTTTTTTTTCTCTTTACATAAACTCATATCAGGTGAACATCATAGGAAGAGCAGGCTGGTACCTCATAAGCTACCAGCAACTTCTTTGTAGTTGCTGAGAGTAGCACTGTGTATCAGCTATTCAAGAATTAGATAGACCCCAATGATATGCTCCCTTAGGGAGTAGTGTTCTTGCATCAGTTTCATCCTAAAAAAAAATTAACCCAAACTATCAATATAGAAGCTGTCCACATAATCTCTCTCACTCCATCGGTTCCTAGAGACCCACTGACTCTAGGGAGTCTTCTGAATGATGATTTCCCCTGAGCTTGGGGGCTTGGTCTTAATTTCCAGATCCTGGGGATTCTGTACCTAAAGAACAGGTGTTACATGATATCAATAATATAGGTCCAAAGCATTTTCAAGTCTTAAAGGTTTGATAGTGTCTGTGAAATCTGTCATATGACTTTATTTTAGGAAAAACTAAAGTGAGAGCTCTCATTCCTAAGTAGTATCTCTAAGCTGAAATTAGAGGAGAGAATTTTAGTGAAGAAAAACGGAGTGTGGAGTAGCTGTACCTTTTTTTGTCTTTTGTGTAAGAAAGAAATGTATTCAGTACTTTTGCAGAGAATAATTTGGCTTTTAGTGGGAGTTTTATTAAATTTTCTGTACTGGCAAATGCTCTTAAGTTTCATATAAATGTTATAGTCTAATAGCAATTAATTTATATTAGGCTTCCCTTCTTTGATATGGTGCTTCATGATAAAAATAATGCACTGGCTTCTGTAGGTTTTGAGATTTCCTTTTACAAAACTCAGCTTCTCCCTCTGCTGACAAGACAAGATTGTAGGCTTTCTTTGCTTTCCTTCCCCTTCTCCTCCTCCTTCCTCCTATACTTTGGGTTTGTGGGTTTTGATTTGTGTGGGTTTTTTTTCCTCTCTGCCAGCTAGTCTCTGCACTAAGTGTCTGGAGTAGACTGCGCTTAACTAGTCAGTGCTTTTTCAAAGTGTAGTCTTAAAATCAGGGAGCTGAGCGGGATGCTAAGCTATTAATCCAACTTACTGACAGATGAACTTGACAAATTGATGCAGTAGTTAGAGACATGTCTGCTCTACACTCTTTCACTGAGGTTTCCACCTCCACAACAGCATCGGCAGAAGGGTATGTGTGATTACCTTCACCAGAAGCTTATGCTGAGAGAGTAGGTCTACAGGGAGATGCCAGACTGGCAGATGTTTGTTTCCTTCCCTCGTCTTCGCTGTGGACGAGTTAAGCTCTGACAGGGAAGCTGAGCAGGCTGCTGGCCCTGTCACACCAATAGTGATGGTGTGGGTGGACAATTTATGATTTGCTTTTAGTAAAGCCACTAACCTGAGTTTGATAAAATAAGCATTTGAAAAAACCCTGATCCTTGACTGTTGAGTTTCTGTTTTAAATGTGCTAATTAGTCCATGGCTTTATGTAATTAATAGTTCACATGCACCATACTTACGGTGTTGGTGTAAAATAATTACCATGGGTAAGAGTGCTTCCTAACACTGTTGGAACAAATAGTTTAATTTCCCTTGAGAGATGTAACACTCTTATCAGTATGTATTGGTGTCACATTGCTGGCAAGCTGATCAGTTCTTCCAGGTGCTTACTGCATTTAAGAGCTATGTAGCTGGGAATATTAAGATTTGGCAGCTGCTCTTAAATTGAACGAGTAAAGTGCTGAATGCAAACTCATGGCCTATCAGTAGGAGATCAAAGACTTCAAGAAGAAAGTACGTGGTCATTGCTCCTTTCTTCAGGAATTTCTTCTTTACTTTTGTCTTTATACAATGTAGGCAAATAATGCCAGTGATCCTTGGTCCAGCTGGAACGTTGGGAAGTCTGGGAACTGGGATAATGGAAATGCTGTTGACAGCTGGGCGACAAAACCTGAAAGTGCAGCTGGCCAGAGAAACAGTGCTTCAAATAACTGGGAGACAGCAGCAGCATTTGGTCATCCACAGGCATATCAAGGACCAGGTGTGCTAATAATGCTTTTATTTTTGAATACATTAAGAGTAGGTGGACAGTAGAGGTAAGACTTGCTTAATCTTTCATAACTCTAGAACGTGGCTTATTTAAAAAACAAAACCAGCTTCCTAGTAGCACATTGACACTGAAATAATAGTTTGGGTTTTTTATTTAATAAAATTAAAAAAAAAATCAGGTCCACAGTAATAGACACCTCAAACTTGTATGGAAATCTGGCAAGCCAAATGCTTGTCCATACATGATTTATTCTCGGGCATGTTGTTCAGCTTGCATGACTGGAACTTAAACACCCTTGAATTTGTGCCCTCAGGCCTGTGAAGAAGCAGTCTCTTAAATCCTTAATTTTAGGAAGTAGCTAGCCTTTCAGAAGGCTTCTCTACCTTTTTGTAGTAAAAGCCTAAATTAAGAGGAGAGCTCATAACTGGGGAATACTAACATGGAGTCTATGAATATGGAACGCTGTTGAATTTATCTTAACACGCCAGCATCTCTTTCTCTTTTTTTTCCTCTTTTTTTTTTTTTTTTTCCCACCCTCTCCCTCAGTGGATTTTTAGTGTAGTGTTTTGCAGGTTGTATTTGGTGGGGATGGTGGTAGTTGAGGAGGAATCCTAAAAGAGAAGGCTGAACTAGCTCTTAATATATTTACCTTGTTTATTATTTGTGTGTGAGTGCTAAGGTAGCTGCTTCTGCTTTTAAAGAGAAAATATTTAACTTTCACCTTTCCCTTCCCCCCTGCCCTCTCCTGTACTTCAGCAGCTGCTGATGACGATGATTGGGATGATGACTGGGAGGACCCAAAATCAACTTCACCGTCTTATCTTGGTTACAAGGAGACTGAGGCATCAGAGGCTGGGGGGATCCAGCGTGGAAATTCTCGTGCAGCTGCTATGAAGTTACCACTTAACAAGTAATGGAAAATGAGGGGCAAATGTGTATATATTGAACAGATTTGGAATTTGTCAAGATGTGTAAATATGTGACCATTCAACCTTCTTGAAATATGCAATGTAAATATTACAGTTTTGGGGTAAAAGTGGAGATGGATTTGTAGCTCAGCATTCTCCCTGTATGATCAGAGAACACAGATCTATGAAAGCCTGAAAGTACATGACACAGCTGTATAATTTTTGGAGGTGTTATACAGGCAAACGACACTTTTGCAAGGTCTGAACTTCTGGACCTACTGGTCTTTGAAAGTTAACCGTTTTTAACACTATATGTGCTTAGTGAAAATGCAAGGTGATGGATGGCTTGTCCCTACAGCAAGACTGATCAGGCATGCTGCCCCAGAGTTTGTGACCAATTTGAGTTGCTAGGAGTGGGGAAAAGTTCTGCTCTCCTGTGTCTGTGCATCACCCAGGTTGATTCTTGAGCCACAGAAAGCTTGATTTTTAGATAAAAATCTTACAATAGCATGAAGCTTTGTCAGAGGTATACTAGCATTATCTCACATTACAACTTAATGTTTGTTTATTCTAAAACTACTGTTACTCTGAGAAGCTACTGTGTGGTAATCTTTAAGTGGATGAAAGCAGAGTGGGAAAGGATTGTAGAATAATGGTCTCCTTGGGTAGGTAACTAAAATTAACAACTAGTCAGGCAGAGACAGTTGATTTTGTTCATCAGCGGAGGTTTTGTTCAGTTTTGCAAGAGTACCTTTGCATCGTTGTGGCATCTACTTGTTGCAAACCCGTTTAGTATAACCAGCATAAACATACCTTATTTAAGAGTGTTATTTGTCTGTGAAGTGAGTCTTACTTTACTCCTTGTGTTTCTGCAAGCAGGCAGTAGGTTGGCAGTACTTGAAGGGCTAAGTATCTTCTTAATTAGAAAGAGAACCACCATTTGCTTTTTGTAAGACTTTTTACACAGACTTTAAGGACATTACAGGGATTTTTGTGTGGTTTTCTTTCTAATTGGTGGATTAATTATTTAACGTAACTCATGTTTAGAAGCACTTGATAAATCTGCAGTTCATCGTTCCTTCAGATGATTGAATTCTCATCATCTGAAACAGCAAGACAGTGTGCATGAGCGTGTGTGTCTGCATTTCCAGAGAGGCTGGACTGCAGTGGAGTGGCAGATGTTACTGTGTGTCCTCCTGTTATGTTTGCTCTGGTGGGCTGCAGGGCACAAATAGCTACTTTGCCTTGGAAGAAGGGGCCTGTATTACAGGAAAAAAAAGCTGTGGGTCAGTAGCTAAAACTTTTCTGCTTTTTTAAGGCAAATTGTTGGTTGTTTAAGTAATCCATGTCAGTTCTTTTCTATACTTGAGAAGTACTAAGGGTTTTTTCCTATAGTGGCAGGTAATTCTGCATACGTTACAGGAAGGAAAATATGGAATAAACTTATCACTTTGTTTGTTAGATTTCCTGGATTTGCAAAACCTGGGATGGAACAGTATCTGTTGGCAAAGCAGCTAGCAAAACCCAAAGAGAAAATTCCCATAATTGTAAGTTGGGGATGTGTGTGTAGGTTTTTTTTTTTTTTTTTTTTTGGGGGGGGGGGGGGGGGTTTGTTTTGGGGGTGGGGGTTTTGTTTTGTTTTTTTGTTCAAAGTGCCTTTAAGTCCCCAAAAGCTAAACTAACTGACATATGGGCACTGTAACTACTTGAGACTGGTTTCTTGAGACGCAGCATAGCTGAATAACATGTACTATTTTTAAGTTGGGGGGGTGTGTGTGGGTTTTTTTTTTTTTTTTTTTTTGGGGGTGGTGGTGGTGGTTTGTTTTGGGGTTGGGTGTTTTGTTTTGTTTTTTTGTGGTTTTTAATCCTCTCCACCCTTCCCTTTTTCTCCAACTTAACTTTTAGCCTCTGGGGTTGCTATATGTATTTGGGTCAGAAGAAACTGATACTGAACATATTATTAGAAATAGAACTGTCATAATAAAACTGTGTACCATTTAAGTACTTTAAAGTTGCAGTGGACTACATTTCAGAGTCATATATCATTGAGGGATTTTTTTAGGGTCAAGTCTTAACTCCTGTCTTCTAAGTGTGCTGATTTATTATTTATTATTATTTTTCTTTTCAGTACTTTTTTTTTTCCTCGTGCTGGATATGCATTACCTGTGATCATGAAAATAAGCCTTTTGGGGATTGGGAGGCAGAGCAAGTGCATTACACTGTCTCTTAGCTATCTAGATAGTCATCTAATACACAGGAGCTACATTCATAAAGGTTTGAAATATTCAGTCATGATGGTCAGGTCATCTTCTGATCTAAACCCCAAACTTTTCTAGATATATGCTGTTCTAGTGAAATGTGGTTGAAGCAGGAATCCCTAGAATTCACCACTCCCTTACTATTTGGGAAAAATTGTAAAATACAGAATAAGATAAACATAACTGTGGTCAGTCATCTTTGATTGCAAGAAATCCCTCTATTTCCTGACTATGAAGCTCTCGCTGGAATCAATGGAAACTTTCAAGTGGAGAGAGAAAGCATTTGTCTCCTTGTTTGCACCTGGTACAACATGATGTAGTTAAAGATAATATTTGCAATTTCTTACAGATTGGTGATTATGGCCCAATGTGGGTTTACCCTACCTCTACATTTGACTGTGTGGTGGCAGATCCCAAAAAAGGTTCTAAAATGTATGGTCTCAAGAGCTACATTGAATATCAGCTGACCTGCACTGTAAGTGTATCTGAAATGGGATCTTCTCTCTCCCAGATATGGGTCATTTGTACATATAAATAATACAGTTTGTGTGACTTGGTAACAGCATTGTAAGAGTAAGTGGTAGTTGTCACACTTTTTTCCCCAAAGAGTTACTTTGTTCTAGTGTTTCAAGTTCTTCTGTAATTACAGATTCAAGGTTCTAAATCATAAATTTTACTTACATTCCACATAGATACTATTCTGGTCACACTTGTTTCATGTCACTATCTGCAGATGCCTGTCAAAATTCAGAGTTGTGTTTCTCTTACAGAACACTAATCGGTCTGTCAACCACAGATACAAGCACTTCGACTGGTTGTATGAGCGTCTCCTGGTTAAATTTGGATTAGCCATTCCAATCCCATCTCTTCCAGACAAGCAAGTAACAGGTAATTATTCCCGGTTGTGAATTCATGGAATGGGAAATAAGGAGATCACTTTTTTACAAGGCTCAGTAATTTCTTACTGTTTGGTTTTTTCCATTATATTTAAAGAAGGTATCAAAAAAAACCCAACCTTTCACCATTCAAAACTTAAGAGTTGTGATGGCCTATTGATAATAAAATATCAGTATTAAGAGCATCACTTCTGAACTCAAGTTTACTTATCTAGTCCAGTGATTTAAAAAACAAACAAACAGCCAAACACCACCACCACCACCCCAGTTACCACAGAAGAGAATATTTATTATTGGAGAAAAGAAATAAGTAGTTATGTTCCCTATTTGCTGATTGTCTGGAGAAGTGGTTTTTGAGTTGGTTGGGGGTTTTGGGGGGGGGGGGGGGGGTTTTTTCTTCTGCATTTGATTGTAAATTTGTTATGTTGTAGGAGCTTTGAAGCAAAGCTCCCGGAGGAAATGGAGCATCCCCTGACAAACTGGGTTTTTTTTGCTCACAAGTAAAATTTTGCAGCTGTTTCTCCTGTTGCTCGATTTCATGCTTGATTTAGAAAGCATCTTTAATTTGTGTAACGCTCTGCTCTGGTTTGGTGTCGGTTCAGCTTGACCAAACCCTCTGAAGCTTATGGAAGTCTCTTGTTCTGACTTCAAGAAAAGTGGGATTGGACCCTTTAAATGCTCATGAGTTCAGTCATTGCAATTGAATGTGGTAATTCCTGTGCGTTTTCAGTAGTCTCTGGCTTCCTTCCTACGAGGGTGTGCTAGCGTGTGTGTGAAGAAAAGAATGGACACCTCTATAGAATGAAAATGCATTACTTTTGCCTATTTCCACTTGTGTGTTTTCTCGTAAGATTTTTATAAAGCCTTTAAGACAACCAGCCAAAAACAAACATACAAAAGCCGGCGTGTCGCCAGCCATGTGGCTGTGGGCATCACTGAAAATGCAGCAGCTCTGCTGTGTTTGAAGAAAGCTAAGCATTGATGCAGATGCTGGGAAAAACGCCGAGGAAACTGAAAAGTGAGGAAGCGACTTCCTCCCCTCCCCTTAGTCTCATGTTTAGAATTCACCAGTATTTTTGCTTAAACATGTGCATGTGGACTAAAGGGAAACCAGAAGACCTGATGGGATCTCTACGTTTTATTGTAACTGTATTTTAAAAGACTCAAGAGTTTGGCATCGCAGTTAAACCTTGCCTGTGGATTTCAGTCTTCCAGAGTCTGTGGGAGAGCATAACTTGTCTCATGCAAAAAAAAAAAAGCATGCCTATTTTTCTCTCTTTTTTTTTTTGAAGCATTATGGGAAACTCTCTGAAAAAAATGGTGTTTATTTTTCATTGTGTTTAGGAGGTTTCTTTCTGAAGACTGTCTAGAAAAATATTTCTGTCCATTAGTCTTGGCAAAGCAAGACTCTTTACTGAGAGACTGAGTCTCTCTTTACTGAGAGACTTGAGTTTGCTCAGGATTGTGATTTTGCTGGTGATGATATGCCTAATCACCAGCACATGACTTCCAAATGTTCATAGGAACAGTATTATGCTTTGCCTAACATGGAATAGGAATGCTTTGCATTCCTTATGCTGGCAGGAACACTGCAGAGATTTCGGTGTAGATTAAGGGTGGAACAAGGTATTACTGTAGCTTATATCATCTCTTCCATAGTAGTTGGATTTTTTTTTTTGTCGCCTTCCCCCCCCTCAGCTAATTTGCAGGAAATACACCCATACCCAAACTTCATTTCTCACTACCTGCTAGTCTTGCTAGTTTCCATATTTGCAATTTAAAAAAAAAAACAAAAACAACCAACCAACCAACCAAACAAAAAAACCCACAAAAAAACCTCAACCTTGTGGAGCTGCTGCCATAGTAACTATACAGTAGAATTATATTGAAAGAGTACATGCGTTCAAGGCTTGTCATGTGTGCTGCTATGGAAATTAGGAGAGTTGAGTGCTGGGAATCTCTCCTTTCAAATACATTGTAATCACTGTATGCTTTAGAAGTCTGACGTTGTTCATTTTTTTCAATTGGAAAAGATTCTCTCAAGAAGACACAGTTTGTGCTAAAATTAAAAGGTTCTTGTAAATATGCAGTGATGATGCACTACTAGTTTTTAAAAAAATAGGAAATTCGTTACTTTATTTAAATAGTTTGTGTTAAAATCTCAACTGTCAAAAAATCAGTCTTGTGTGTGTGTATTCTAACCAGTTTATACATATGATTTATTGAGATTTTTTGAGGTTTTTTCCCAATACGTTCACTTACCTATATAGAAATATGTTTATGGGAGGTATTGCTTTTTTAAATCTGCTGTTTGTATCTGAGCAGTCAAATTTCAAATGTTTTGTTAGCTAGGACATGGCAACTTGGAAAGTAAGTAGTTCCTTTTTCTCCAATGTTTTTGAGCCTTACGTTGACCAAGGATTTACTAGACTATTATCAGAAAAATGTCTGCATTCCAAGCCTGTGCCTAGCTTCTCTCTTGGGATATCTGAATACCTAATTTTTCCATCCAAAAGTTTACTAATCTCTTCCCCCCCCCCAGTTGATTTGAATGGGTGGGTATTATGGTTTTTTTAATATTTCCTGACTATCTTTAAAAGGAGGAGTACTCTTGGTCAGTAACCAATAGACTGTAATTTAAGGTTCTTCTGATTTGTCAGCATAATGTTTCCTTCTTGTAAGTTCTGAGTCATTAAATGGTTAATAACTCACCAGATGAATTACAGATTCTGTTTTAATTAAAAAAAAAAAGGTACTAGAGTAGAAATGTAACAATTACTGTTCAATGTATAACAGGACGCTTTGAAGAAGAATTTATCAAAATGCGTATGGAGAGACTGCAAGCTTGGATGACGAGGATGTGTCGCCATCCTGTTGTCTCAGAAAGTGAAGTTTTCCAGCAATTTCTCAATTTCCGGGATGAGAAGGTAGGAAATAGAGTTCACACACAAACTGAGATTGAGGAATTGCCCCCCCCTCCCCCTTCCAACTAAGAGTTCAGTTTTGTAGCCTTCCCATTTGTCTGCCCCGCTGTGGGCAGTAGTGACGAGCTGAAAACTGCTGGGTTTTATTAACTAACTTAGCTGATTGATCTAAATGAGGCATAAAGTTGCTTGTGTGAAATGCTATATGCCTTTCCAACAGCGATGTGCTCTTTCAAGTAGCTTTGTTGCCAGTCTTTTAAGGACAGTTTGTGTCCTCCAGCAGAATAGGAACATATATAACAACTCTTTTGGCTGTTGGCCTGATCTGTCTCTGTTGGACTTACTAATTACTGCAGTCCTCTGATTGGTACTGCTTTGCTAACAGATGCTACTTTGTAGCAGATCTAGGATGTGTCTGATCCTGTATTATATTTAAAAACTCCCCCCCTCCCCAGCAGTTTCCACTGGAATGGGTTGTAATAGCATTATGCTGCAGTCTTACCTGATATAACCAGCCCTTTTTTATTCCCGTGCCCTCGCCCTCCGGCATTTTTGTATGCTTTTTTAAGAGGTTTTCTTCACCTTCAGTAAATGATGGTTTCTTCATGACGGAACTCCAGCTCTGTTACTAATTTGGGTATCTACTGATGAGGAAGTAAACAGGAAAACTCTGCTGCTTTCTCCTCAAAATAGTCATACTTCTAAATACACATAGATTTTGCTGAAAAAGTAAATGATCCTTGGAGGTTTTTAAGACTAGGCTGGATAAAGCCCTCAGTAACTAAGGTCACAGCTGACCATTTTTGAGTAGGAGGTTGGACTACAAACCTCCTGAGGTCACTTCCAAACAGAATTACTCTGTGATCCTGTAAGTAGAGGCTTAATAACATACTAAGTAGCAGTCTTAGTGAAGTGATATTTAGATGGCCAGTGGAGAGTTTTATAATCGTGCCAGCTAGTCAGCAATTGCTAGTAGCTAACTTACGGACTGATATAAACAGAACAGATGTTGCAATACATGTGGAATTTTTAGCCTTTTTATCTGTTCCCACTAAGAACTTAGTATGGCAATTGCATAATAGTCTCATGATCTTGAGTAGCTTCTGATATCAGCACTGTCACATGTGCAGAGACAGCTGAATATAATTGCTCTTACACTGTATTTCAGTAATATGCAAGAACGGTCTGTTTACCCCAGAATCTAGAAAGCAAAGTGCACAAGGAGCAGGGAGGGAAACTCTAAGAAACCTTGGCCCCACTGAAACTTTCATTTAAAAGGTTTTAATTTATGGGTGGTCTATTGGTTAACTGTTCTCCTAAACATTTAATTCACTGCTTAAGTCCATGCCCTTAGAGATGCGTGGACAGTGATGGTCAAACTTTGTCCTTTTTTCCTCCCCCCCCTCTTTCCTCAAGGAGTGGAAAACTGGAAAGCGGAAGGCAGAAAAAGATGAAACTGTAGGAGTCATGATCTTTTCTACAATGGAACCAGAAGCTCCTGACTTAGACATGGTAGAAATGTAAGGTGTCTTTTTGCATGGACATTATGCATCTGGATATACAACAGATACTGAGCTAATATAAAACTAGAGTAGTAACCGTGCACATATATTCATGGATTTGAAGAGGTACTCATCAAGGCAGAGCTGAAAAATTGTTTGAATACGAGATTTTCATATCAACCCCTCCAAAACTTGGTGGAACTCCATGTGATGTCTCTTTGACTTCAGTGGGTGAATACTGATCCTAAAAAGATTTATGCAAAACTAGTTGATGAGATAGAGTACTGGCAGATCCTATGGAGTTATGCTTTATATTGCTGTGGAGGTGTATTTTGATCTTTAATCCTTCAATTGTGAACAGTTCTAAAGCGCGCTAGACTTACCAAGTAGCTTACGATAACTGTAGGTGAACCATCAAGGAAAACAATGTTTCTGTAAAATACTTGTATACAATGCACACACAGATTCCAATATCTGGTATCCATGGAAAGCTATTAAAAATGAAAAGTGACTTAAATTATCGAATTTTATTTTAAATGGGTTACTACATTTTTGGAATATCCTTCTGGAAGTGCAAATGGATATATTTATTTTATATATGTATATGCTATGTATACATATGCTTTTTTATGTATCGTTCTCTTGGTGGTAGACCTTTGGATTTCATAGAGTGAAACACTGGATTTACTCTGCAGCCTTTATTTCATTGCTTTAGGCTTAATCATTTTTCTTAGAAGATATGTAGTATGCATGACATGCTTTGCTTGCTGTTGTAGAACGTAGAAACTTGGATAATGTTTTGTGTCTGAAACTGTGGATAAACTAAATAGAAGTGTTTATAGTGGCGAAGCAGTAGTGTACCTGCACCTGGAAATACCCCAGTGTAGCCTTTATCCAAGTGATGCAGTGCATATTAAGATGCATATAATAGCTGTGTGGTAGCAGTTCTGTACTAGTAAAAAAGATGGACATTTTTAGGTCACTTCTACTTCGAACGTGAAGATTTCAAACTTGTCTACTTTTCTTAAGTGATGTGTTTTATATATCCCAGTGATATAAAAGCTGAACGGGTGAACCAGAGGGATGATTTTGTATGTAGGGTGCAGGAGAGAGTGAGTCTGTATTATATATAGAACCCTGGCAGGGAACAACCAGCATATGTTCTGCTAAACTGTTTGTCCCCAAACAGGGTGAGGGCAGGCGAGCAGCCTGCAGGGAACGCTCCCCAGAGGGTGCTGAGTCCTGGGCTGGGGCTGGCAGCCTGGGGCGGTTCTGGGGGCCTGTCTCCAAGCATTGCAGAGGTGGCTGCTGTAACACCTCAGACATCCACACCGTGTTCCAGTGCCTGGGAACGTCTCAGGGTGCTGTTAAAAAAAAAAAAAAAAAAAAAAAAGTGTGTATGAACATAGTCTTGAAAGCCATTACGCCTGTAAGTGGATAAACCAGCTTGTTCAGTAGTTCACTAAAATATCTGGAACAATTTTCTTTGTATTTGTTCATTGTTGTATGGATGTTGCTACTTCTGTTACTCTAACATCTAATTTCATGTCAATGTGGGGTCCTTCTATTTGTGTTAAGTGCTCTAGGGATGCATTTTCCTCATTGGGGAGGATATTTAGCTAGTCTAGTACTACGTGTTTAACGGGGGGGGGGGGGGGCGGGCGACGAAGGGGAATAGAATGAAAAATGCCTGTATCTGAAGAGGGAAATTCTGACCCTAGTGAAATGGCAGAGATTTCAAGGAATTCATTTATTTCTCTGATTATTTTTTTTTTAAGACCTAGTTGACACTACTAAACATTTCAGTATTGTGTTTAAAGTTAGTGTAATGTATCTGTTAAACTGCTTTTTGTTTTTGCTTTTTCCAAATGCCACAGAGAACAGAAATGTGATGCAGTGGGTAGGTTCACCAAAGCAATGGATGATGGAGTTAAAGAGCTGCTGACAGTGGGACAAGAGCACTGGAAGAGGTGTACAGGGCGTAAGTGTCCCTTCTGAACTCAGCAGTCATTTTTGTGTTGCTTTTCTCAGCTTTTTGTTGTTGTTGTTTTTCGTTGTTTATAATTCAAGGCACATCTTAAAACTAAAGGAAATCCTAAGTTATCATGAGGATTGTATGGCATTCTGGCTGCTTTCAGTGTCTGAGAGTATAAATTGTGCAAGCCTTTTGGTTTTGGTTTTTTAATTTCTCTCATATCAGAAATATCTGGTCCCTGCCCATAGGTTTAAAAATATTAAAAGTTAAATAATTCTAGTAATGCAGCTAATGCCCTTGTTGGACCTGTTCTCATATATTTGTCATTTATCTACATTTTAGTGACATGGGCAAAGTAGACCTGTTTATTTGATGAAATCATAAATTGCATTTTATTAACCCCTTATTTAGGATTCTTGCATGCCAGGAGGAGTGATTTAAAGATGAAATGAGTTTAAAAAAAAAAAAAAAAGAAAAGAAAAAACAACTTGATTCTAACTTAATCCTTAGCCCAATTCTTTTTCTCCTATCTTGTCTCTTCCTTCCCACAGATGTTTAGGGTTGCAGAACTTCACACCAAGTCCCTATGACTCTGCCTGGGCTCTAATTTCCTAGTCCACAGCAGTGTTCAGTGTTTGTGGCCACCACAAGGCAGCTATTGAAAGGAAGCAGGTACTACAGCTGAGGATCATAATAAGAAACACTTCAGGGCAGGCTGTAGTGTCTGGCGACCAAAGACCTATCACATAAATCTCAAATCTCCTCCATTTTTTTCTTTCCTTTCCCCCCCCCTCTTTTTAGAACCATTGTCCCCAGACTTGGGAGTAAGTACATCTCCCAAGTTACCTCTTTGCTGCTTTCTAATCTAACAGTAATTGAATATCTGGGGCTGACCAGAGGTAATGGGAAGTATAGAAGCCCAGTCTCTTCTCATAGTGATTACATTAGACCTTAGTATCTGTAGGATGTGAACTTTAAATTATTTATGTTTCTCCACTTTGAATAAGAGGGTTTCCTTCTACACATCACTGACCCTCCTGCTGGTCAAAAATAGTCTTAACACAGGACACAGCTCTAACATTGTACAGATCTCACTTCATTAGGAAATGATACTGAGGGGGAAGTGGAGGGCAGGGGAAGGAATAAGGTCCCTCAGATGAGACTAGAAAAATAGCATTGCTTTGCAGTTACAGAAGCAGTGATCAAAACCACCATAGTTAAGGGCTGGCTGTGACTTCTACTTACAGTCGAAATTCAGTATTTTGTTCACTGCTAAAATCTTGCTGAACTTATGACACTAGTGGTTTAGGTATGGAATGACTCTTCTGCCACTCACAGTTATTAATTAATTAGCATAAACGCAGTAAGTCAGATGTGATTGTGTTGAAAATTTCAACTTTTAACTTTCCAGACATTCATACTGAACAGAAAAAGGAGACTGGTAAATCGGGACATGCAAAACTGAAGAATTTCAGTAGCCTCTTAGGTTGCAAGTTCCCTGTCAGCTCTAGTCCCAACTCCTAGTCCGAAGTATTTTTGGCACTTCCTGAACAATAGTTACGTGCATTCTATTCTATGATATTTAAAATGACTGACAGTGGAAACTTCTTAAATGCAAGTGAAAAGAAGAACCAAACGTTCTTCACTGAAGTTTCCACTGGGGATTCAGTTAACAAGTTAATGGCTGATAACAGAACGCTAGTACTCTGAATGGTACCTGTTGTATAAGAAATACCAGTTGTCATAAATAAGCTGACTTCTGGGCAAGAACTTGATCAAAGATAATCAATAAAATTATGCGGTTTGGGAGGTTTATTTTTCAGGGTTTTTTTGTTTGGTTTTTTGTGTGTGTGTTTTTACTGCACAAAGGGGTTCCTCTGTGAAAATGAGATTGTGTGGGATGCTAGAGCAACTAAAAAACTGCTATTTACGTGGGCAGTGTATCCTCTGAATACAAATGTTTGACAACAAAAAGCACATCTACTTGTTTTTTTTTCTGCTAGCATAGGTAGCTTATAAAAAAATTGCTTTCACTTTTCAGATTGCTTTTTAGGCCTCTGGGGTGGTGGTATTCAAAGTGTTAATAATGAATGCACTCATAAATCACAGCTTATTGACTTCATTGTGAGAAAACAATTTATGCATACGCTTTCAATATAGATTATAAAAAACAATTTTATTATTCAGATACTTGCATCAGTTTTTATCCCTAGATAATCTTGGTTTCTAGTGCCTTTAAATATAAAATCCATGATTTGAGGAGAGTTTAGGTAGTATAGATCTGTATAATAATCCCCTCTCTTAAAATATTAATGAGATCCATTCTCCGTATCACTGCAGCACTTCCCCCCTGCCAGAGGATAAAGTCTGCTCATGAGAAGGAGAAAAAAAAATCTCACTATGCATAGGAGGACGAGCTAGGAGTGCAGTGAGATTTTTTTTTTTTTTTTTTTTTTTTTTATAGCAGTCACACACTGTTTCCCCAACTGTTTGTGGCTTTCAAGAATCCAGATTGGAATTGCTTTATCCAGTTTTGGAATGTCTGTAGCAGGGGAGGGGGTAAGAACGTGATTGTAAATCCTTCACTAGAGGAAATGTAAAACCTAATTGTTTTTGATGTTTGCTTCTATCAAGTTTTGGAAATGCTGCACATTTAGCCTCACTTACCCTTGTGGGTTTTTGCTTCTGTTTCCCTCTCTTCCCCATCCTTCTCCCCCTTTCAGCACTACCCAAGGAATACCAGAAGATAGGAAAAGCGTTGCAGAGCCTGGCACTGGTCTTCAGCACTAGTGGATACCAAGGTACTTCTACAGCTTCATTTGTACTTTACTTAACAAAAGATATTTTAATTACATCATGCTACATTTTTAGGCAAAGATCTTAATGCTTTCCTCTTTGAACTTTAGATGTCAAACGTGATTCTGGAAAAACTTAAAAACTTGTTTCCCTGTGTGTATTATGGGGTTTTTACATTCTAGTCTGCAATCTTGTTTTCTCTCACTGTGTAATCATGTGGTGGGGTGGTGGTGGTGGTGGAGTTTAGCTTGATCTCATTAATATATGATCCGGTTACTGGCCTGACTGACAAAATATGCTGTAGCATTTTTTTGTGATATCAAAGGAAAGGGGAGAAAATGTGGCCTTGAAAATACCTGTCACAGAACTATTGTGTGACTTCACGAAACAACAACTTCACATGGGGATGGAAAACTTATTACAAGATTTTTGTATACCATTATGTGGGCTGGAGGGTTGGCTACTGTAGCTTTTTCTTGTCCTTCACCTTTCCTTCTCCTTCAAGAGCCCTAAAATAGAGACTGTCATGTCAGGTATGAAAGTTGTGGGAGGGAGAAGGAGGGCATCAGTTGCTCAAAGTTCTCCTAAAACGTAGTCTTTAGGCCAAACTTAAAATCCTGCTTTGATATGTTAAGTTCTGCTGATGTTTTCCAGATAACTGGAAAATATTTCCTCATACCCCAGAGGGAGCTAATTGAGTCTATTTTCTCTGGGATTCTCTTGTCAATTTTTTCTTTTTTTTTTTTTCTAGACTTAATAGCAAAATTGCTCTGTTCAAAAACCTTAAACATTATAGCATAGAGGCTTCCTGAAATCTTTCCATTTTAGGACTTTTAGTTGACCAGTACTTATTCTTGACTACTCATCTATCCCTTGCTTTTTACTCTTAAAGCTTTTTGCCCCATACACCATGTGTTAAATGCAACCACTTCTGAAACTCGGGTTCTCTGCTGCTGGAAACATTGGAAATAGACATAGTCCCTGTAGTTTGTTCTCATATTTGTCCTGTACTTAAAAAAATCAGCAGGATGACTACTGCTTAGTTAGAATTGGAGCATAGCATGTTGCCTAAAGTGTTACTTTTGGATGTGAGAACCAAGTTGGGGATTTGCATAATTATGTACTCTTAGCATGGGTTAGAAAACTGTAAATCCTAGCCAGATAAAATTTGTAGCAAGAATTCTTAAGAAAGGGCTGAAAATTGCTTGAACTATAACATGCATTCTTTTGCCAGGGTAAAGGGAAAACAATATGGCTTAAAGCTAGAATGCAAAATTGCAGATCAACCTTACGAAGGCAAGCTTCAATTTGATTTCCAGCATCTTCAAATGGTATGAAAAAATAGATCCCATGATGCTTGGGAACAAGGCAAGCGTATTTCTCTTCGCTGTTTGCCCAGTTGTACCTGATTGCACCCTAGTATCTTGCAGAGGGAAATGCCCTTCCCACTGATGCCTTTGTCCTGATTCCATATATTCTGCTCTTTTTAATAACTGGTACACCAGTGTATTTTTTCCGAATTAATAATATATGGGATTCTTTGCTTTTTTAGTTTGAGTTCCCAGGAAGAGAGAGAATAAGTGCAGTGCATGTGTTGCTTTAAATGTCTTCATCACTGCTGCCCTCACTCTGTCCTGCCTGCTGTTTGTGTACAGTTTCATTTGACGGTTGCCTCAGGTACAGGTCTGTGGATTAAGCAGACTCTATGCAAGAGACATAAGCATATGGCTTTCCTGATCTCAATATTTAAAAGAAGGCACTGGACCTATTCCTTCAAATGAAGTACTAGCTAGACTGAGTATGGGGTATGATTTTTCTGGACTACTGGTAAAGAGTAATGGCTCCTTCAGCCATACTTAAAGGCACTCAGTTCAGTTTCTGTTGGGATCTCTTAATTTTTTTTTTTTTTTTAATGCTTGAGTTCTGGAAGTTTAAGCATATAGCCTGCTGAAGATTGCAACGACTGATTTGACACGAACATTTCCAGTTACTGGTAGCTGACTCCTGACATGCTGAATACACTGTTAGTTGGTTCATTTGCACAGTTGGGATGGGATGTATCTACTGTCCTTACCTCTTTCATCAGTGCTGCCTGCTTGCTCTGCAAAGCCTTATTATATGTGGTGAATGTCTACTGCCTTCTCTTCTGATTTCCAGCCTAAAAGGTTTAAGATTGCACCGGGCAAGATGTACTTGTTAATCTGACTCACTCAAGCTCTTTTTCATATGCAGCAGAATGAGCCTTATCAGTTAGTTGCCAGCCACAGTGCATATTAGGAATCTGTCCTCAGTATTTGCAGAGGGAAGGGTACCTTTAAAACTATTAAGGACACATTGAGAGGTTCTCATTTAACTTGGCCATGGGCCTATGTACTGTCCGATCAGTTTTAAGAACACATGCTTTGAAAGTATGATCCTGGTCCAAAAATGCATATTGGACGGTTCCAGAATATGCCTGGAAGTGTCTTGCAGCCTGGCACTACGTTGCCTGTCCTGTTGCATCATACAATGCTCTTAGGTTGACGCAGCCTTAAATAGCATGGCTTCTCTTTTGTGGCGCCAAATCTGGGCGAGTCTTTCTCCTATATTAAGAAAACGTGAATGGCTGTGGTATGCCATTCAACCATAGTAAGATCTCCTAATCCTGCATCACCCCTCAGGAATTTTGTTAGGTAGTTACATGCAAGTTTCACTATCCTGCCAGCTAGCAACGGGCACATCTTGCCTTCCAAGCTGCTTGCGTGCTGAACATTATCAGTCCGAGGTGTACTTGTCAAGAAAAGTCTTGCTACAAGTAGTTCCCTAGTACATCAAACTTGATCTTCTTCCTACTCCTGGATTCTATTTAAAACATGCTTTGAAAGAAAAGAAAACAAAACAAACATTTTTGACAAAAATAATTCTGCTGCCCTAATCGAGCCTTACAGAATATTAGTTCCCTCAATACGCCTGGTGTATTCCCTCAGCAGTGGTAATGACTGGCATTTACCAAGCAGTTGAACTGCTGAGTGATGCTCTGCTAAACATCTCCAAAAGACTCCTCATAGTTTTACATCTTCCTTCATCTCCCTATGACAGCATGCAGGCCTGTAAATCAATGAAAATATCAGTTTCTCCTTGTGGTTGGGTTAAATATCTGTAGAATATTACTGGCCATTTTAGCTGGTCTTTTTACAACTACCTTTAGTTAATGCTTTTAAGCCCTCTCTGTTTCTCATGGGGATATAGGTAATGCACCCTGCCCTAATTTTGTTGTAAATGTCAGCAGCGTGTGGGGCTTTCTGCTTTTCTGTTGATTAAAGAACCCCTGACATCCTGGTATATCCTTGCACTGGGACCCAGCTCAGCTTTCACGGCTTGAGTTAAGAAACCCATTCCCAGCTTTGCATCGGTTCAGAAGCTGAGAATGCTAGAAACTTGGCCTTGTCCAAGTAACAAAGCTGACCAAAACTCGTGCTGACAACAGTGATTGGAAGCAATCTGCTGCTGGAATTCAAGCTACTCTGATGGGTGAGCGTGTGGGTTGCGTGCGAGATCTCTAACAAGGTGGCCTGGTGTAGGGAGTGGCTGACTGAGCATGGCATGATGCTGCTGATAACGTGTATTAGACCTTGGAGGGTGCAGCAGGTGAGAGATGAAATGTGACTCTCTAAGGCTGCCCTGGCACTAGCTGAAAAAGAGACTGTAGAAGAAAAGGATGCAGTGTGAGGAGCTGCAGATATTCTTCTACCACTTGTGTGCCTGCCTATTGTCGGGATCCACTGTCTGGAACAACTTTTAAATGTACTATCCCTTAGCCGTACATTTGGAGGAGTGTGAATGCCTCTGCTAGTAGTAAAAACTCTTAATGTACCCTGTGTCTTCCACAAGCTGGCTTTGTGCCGTGCTGCCCCCAAATGAAAGAGGATCGGTGTTGGGAGGGTTTGCCTGGATTCTTTGCAGCTCCCATTTATGAAGGTCCTTGGAGTGAGTTCTGCACAGAAGGGGAGGATTTTCTTTCTGCTCAAATGTACATACTCCTCCTCTTTCTTTTTGCTCAGATAGGAAGAGTCATCGTCTTTTATGGCATTATGAAATGAACAGCAACATCTAGACCAACCTGGCTTCTGACTCTAAAGCCACACCATGTTTTGTCCCAAAATCTAGGAGTCAGTTGCCTAAGCAGCAGTTACTTCAAGGTTACTCAAGATTACTTCTGAGCAGACATGGGCACTTCTGAAATAACAAAATTATTTAAGTCTATCTGAAATAATGAAATTTATCTCCCTGAAATTTTTTTATCATTTTACAACAATGTGAAGATATCTTCTGAATTATGTACCTCTTAGACTCACAATGGGATTTCATGTCGGTTTTATTTTTATTTTTATTTTATCCGGGCAGGCTCAAATAGGAGAAAAATAACTATTTCTTTAGCAGTGTTTGTGTTGCTAGACTTAATAGTTCTTAGGATTAGTAGCTTTTCCTCAAAGCTTTTGGCTTTATGAAACCAGTCTAATGGAAAGTAAGAATTGATTGATAGAACTGAAGCAACATTCAGTCATTACCTTGTTTCCTTTAGGGCATGCTAAAATGAAGAAATCCTATCTAATGAATCTCTAACATAGATTAGTCCATATGTTGTAGTAAAAGAAGGTACTTTAATATTAAAATTTATCATTAATGAAATCAGTGTTCAGTAATTTTCAATGAAGTCACTGATTAATGTCCATAGAATAAAAACAAAATGTTCATAAAAGACTAATTGCTGCCTAATATCAAGGCATGTCTGAAAGGATGAGAAAAATCATTTTTTCTTAAACTAATATTTGGTATCTGCAAATTATACCTTCCCCTTTCTCTACTTCAATTTGCTTTTCATACTGTTGACTACATGCTCTGGACAAGCTAGCAAGAATGGAAAAAACCTGTGGTGTTTTGGGAAGGTGAAGTGGCGTGAAAAACTGAAGAACGTAAGGCTTGTTTCCATCTTTGACCCACATAGCCGTGTTCTGCTAGTAATACAGTGTTACGAGTGCTTGTGGTGTTGTCTAGCTTAGGATTTGTGCTGATGTCTGTATTTTTAAGTGTAGTTTGTGGGGCCCTTTGATCTGCTTCATATGATGATGAAAGTTAGAAACTCACTCTTAAAAGCAGCAGTTCTTACACAGCTTGAAAATGTTATCCAAGAGTTCCCTAAAGGGTCAGAAATCTTGCTGGCAAGCAATAAAGTTAGTTGGGCCTCCTTCCGCTTCTCTGACCTTCTAACAGCTACGATCCGGGACTGCTGGAGAGCTTAGGGCTAGCATCGCTGCCTCATAGGGCATCGTGGAGAACTTACTGCTTATCAGGTATGAAAATCATTTATTAAAAATCAGAACAGCAGGTGTCTCTTCAGCTTTGTTAGTCTGTCTTCCAGTGTCACCCTCTTCATTCTCCCTTCCCTCCCGTTCTCGTAGGCTTCCCGTTGCCCCGTATAGGGGAATACCTGTGTATTTAAACTACATGTAATTATGAAATGTGGAAGTGAATAGTGCTAGTACTATGGTAGAACATTGTTTACATGGTCCCTTTAGCATTCATTTTCTCCAAGATCTTGAGAGTTTTTGTTCTTTAATGGTATTAAAAACTACTAATGTTTTTCTAACTTCTTTATTACTGCTGGTTATAAAATGATGACTAGGCATTTATTATTGTAAAATAAGCTATTTTAGAACTTTGCCTTGATTCAAGGCAAGTTTCTTACTGTAATTGACTTACTGTAATTTGAATACGGATGTTTACTCTTAGGAGAATCTGATCTCAATGGAGCAATAACAGAAGCAGGAAAAACCTATGAAGAAATCGCCAGTCTTGTAGCAGATCAGGTAGGAGCATTATGAATGCATTGGTGTAGTGCATACAAACATATCACCTATTTGGATCACTTCAGACTTTTCTTTTATTCTCTTCTGTTAAAACATAACTGCTAGTGCTGCAGACCAGTTAAATGAAATTACTTTTAATACTTCTAAATGCACGTTCATCTTCTTTTCTACTGTGTGTCAGCTTACAGGGGATGTGATAGGAGGGTATTTCTCTTGGATCAGAAAGATCACATTCTGGTTTCTAAAACACTAAAATTACTTTCTCTTTAAACGTGTTTGTTTTCTGATGTCAGTGAGCTGTCTTCATTACTGATAGAAAAGAACGAGATTTAAGCAAGGATAGGGTTTCTACCTTCCCCCTCCATTCCCCAAATGTCTACAGGATCCAGATCTTGCTGTGTTTCATTGTCTTGACATGCAGTTGCCTGCTTCAGTAAAAATCTGGCTTAAATAAATCCTGTTTGGTGTCAGCATTGAAGTCATAAATTGATGTTTAGTGTATTAAGCTTAAAGTCTCCAAAAGGCAGATCCTCTTGATCTCAAGGTTGAGTCTAGAAGTTCTTAAAACAGTTTTCCAAGTCAGCGACTAAGGAGATGCACCTGTGCATGTACATATCTATATATGTAATGAGATTGTTGCTTGATAGCGCTATTGCTAGGGCTAGTAACTCCTCTTCAGTGGAAGTTTGAGGCAAAACCCCTCACTTCCTAAGCTAGTGTTGAGTAAAACAAAGAACACGGGCATCTGCTCACTGGTGCTCAGTGGCTTACTCCAAAGAGCTTATATTTTAATAAGAACCTTCTTAAATATGAAAAACTTGAAACAAACAATTAAGACTTTGGGTTGGGGTTTTTCTATTCTTTCCTTCCCTTTTTTTCCCCTCACATGTTTTTTGGCATCATAGTTTCTTTTCTGTGATGTTAACATGCCACAGATACTTCTGCTAATGCTTGCACTTTGTTTATTAGCCGAAGAAAGATCTTCACTTTTTGATGGAAACAAATCATGAATATAAGGGATTTCTTGGGTGCTTCCCTGACATCATAGGAGCTCATAAGGTACGTGATGGGCCTTTCCTTTTAAGGGTTGGGCAGTAGGAAGATCTACAGCAACAAAAGTGGTGGTATGGTACGCTGCATTTGTGCAGCAGCCTGGCCCCTGCTTCCAGAAACACTGAAAGTTTCTGTGAAACTGGCATGTTGATTTTTGAAACAAAAACACGTAGAGGGGAGGGAAGCAAGAACTTATCTCAAGATTTGAGAATATCATGACTTTCTGCTATAACAGAGCACTAGAAGCTTCATAATTTTCTTCATGTTAACTTGCACGTCCCAGTGTGGTGAACAGCAGTAGCATAAATTTGTAGTATTTGAATCTTACATGGTAGCTGATACTAAACCATACCTGTATTGTAGGAAGAATTGTACATGCTTACATGGCTAGCTTACTGATATGTGATAGATAATCATGCACTGCCTAGAAGTTTCTTTAATGTTAGAGAATAGGGCTAACTTTTTTGGGGGGGAGAACCACCAGCAACAAAAAACAACCACTTCATTCTCTGTAATATGAAAGCCATCAATAGTAAAACAGTAAATTTAGTCATTGTGTCTAGTTTTGGATATTGTGCTTTTTTTTTGGCCCTAGAGTTTTCCTTATGTTCATGTGTCTGCTGTAGCATATTTCAGGAAACTAAAAATTTTGAAGTATTAAACAAGTACACAAGTAGTGGGTTGTTTTTTGGTTTTTGTTTTGTTTTTTTTTACCACTTGAAGTGTTAAGTGTATAAAACAAGAACATACTTCTGAGAGCAACAAAGATAAAAGCATATCAGAGTTGTGTATTCTTCCTTCAGGACAACTTACGGTCCTTCATCCCACAGAATCCTGGGGGGGAAATACCATAAAAGGAGAAGAAATGTTTTTAAAACTCAAAACATAAGCCTACTGCCAAGAGATGTGTAAATAGAGTCTTTTGAATGTTGTTTGGCACAAATACTTTGTGAGGGGGGATGCATTTCTTTTTGTTTGTTGTTTATGTGACACAAGGATTTTCCTGAATCAAAAGTTATAAATTGCAATGAGTTGTAGTCTCTTGGAAAATAGTTTTGTTGTCTCATCTTGCATAATGTGCAAATAAGGTTCTACAGGCATTTGATAGTTTGAAGCTTTTGGATGTCTATTGTATTGGCCAGCTGTATTTTGAAACTTGGTCTCTTTTGTCCTTTCTGTATATATCCTTATGTATTACTACCTTTTTAGTGACTGCGTTCCTGCCTCTGTTTGAAGTCAGTTTTTGCACTCTCGAAAGCAATAACAAACTTTGGGTGAAAATGCAGGAAGGCAGAATCGGTCATTGTGTGTGTATATATATGTGTGTAGTGTGCAAGCTCAAAATGTGGCCAGTAGCATTTTAGATGACTATAAAGATGTTAAAGTTGTCTACTCTTTTAAACTACTCTCTTAATTTTTCTGCATTTGGTTTCTACAGGGAGCAATAGAAAGAGTGAAGGAAAGTGATAAATTAGTTGCAACCAGTAAAATAACACCACAAGACAAACAGAACATGGTGAAACGTGTCAGCACCATGGCTTATGCACTACAAGGTAAACCAGATTTGGGGCTAAATGGCAGTGTTGTAGACCTGTGAAGGACATATCTTAGATTCTCTTTCAAAGTTTGTGACTTTTGTTCTACCAGGAATGATAATAAGAGCTAGGCATAGTTGGGTTTTGGCTTGGGTGGTTTGGTGGTGTGTTTTGGGATTTTTTTGGTTGGGGTTTTTTTTTTTTTTTTTTTGGTGACCTGCTTAGATTTTCCTAAAATGGCAATTATTTTGCCTGTTGTTTTCTTTCAAATCTCATATTGCTATTGCAAAAGATACATGTTTTGGAAATGCAATTAAAAAAAAAACAAAACAAAACAAAAAAACCCAAACAATAAAAAACACACACCACCCCAGACTGATTCTTTCATTTTGAAGTCATGATGTCTCAAAGAAAAAGCATGGCCCGTGGTGCAGGAACCAGTTCATCCCGTGCAGAAGTGTTTTTCTGACTCATGGTTTAGTCAGACATGATCCAGTTGAGATTCATGTTCTTGTGGATAAGACTTTATTTCCTGGATGTTCTTTGAATGAACTTTTTCCTCTTCAAGTTAGAGATGTTGTAAATATGAGACGTAGCACACTGCATTTGAAAAACTGGGGAAGTGAGGAGTCAGGGCTCAGTCCTGAAGGATATCAGGCCCTTAAGTGCGTCCTGTTACTGACTTCAGTGGGACTACTCCTTACTGAGGGGGTTGGATCTTTTTTAGCCAACTTAAAGCCAAGAGTACTCGGTATTTTACAGGACAAAGTCAGAGCAGCACACAAAATTGACTTTAAAAACAAACAAGAAAACTCCCCATCCCCTCCTTCTTCATGGTCACCATGATGCAAGAGGACTGTACTGTATAAGTGGTAATCATAGAAGAGACCTCTAGGATGACTTTTACGATCTAGAATGTTTCTTCTCCCTCTGTTGGTACCTCAAAATAGATTTACCTTTTTATTTTGGCCATAAGCTGTGATCTGACAAGAGATGCAGAAAGTGGTAAAAGGTGTTGTGGATTCAGTAATGCTGTTTCTCGGATTTCTACTGAAACAGCCTTGGTCAAGAATGGGTCAAACACTACTGGCTGCATCTTTTTTGAGCTAAATATTTACAGCTGTGGCTTACAACTTGATATCTTGGAAAAATCTGAATGTCCTAGCCAAATTCTGTTGGAAACACTTCAGGAAAGAGCAGTTACCTCAGTAGGAGAAAATCCTGCTTGTATTCTTTGTCAAATCGTTGTATACCTGAGTGTCGTAGCAAGAACCTGGCTTTATCCAGGAAGTGTCTGTATTTTAGCAGTGAGTAATTGACACCCTACCAATTTTACGAACAGTTCCATCATCACTTGAGTGCTGCAGGCACAACAGGTTGTGGAAGCATGAGAACAGTAACTATGCTGGCAGGGCTGGACACTGAGCTTGTTGCACAGTAACTAATCTGAATTGAGTGAAACTGTTCCTAATGACAAATGCTTCTCTTAAATAATTTGCCTCCTGGGTCTAATTGCAGCTGAGATGAATCACTTCCACAGTAACCGGATTTATGACTACAACAGTGTCATTCGTCTGTATCTGGAGCAGCAGGCACAGTTTTATGAAACGGTAAGGTGTAGTATTTCAGTGCCATTTTCCTGGCACATACTGTGCTGCTACTTTTTATAAGAAATACTCATAGTACTTAATCATCTTTTTGTATGAGCCTCTCCCAGAGAGCACATATTTGAAGAATTGTACATATAAAAAACAGAAGAACAAAGAATGATTTAAAATAATATTTTCCTATAGATACTATTCCTATGTACCTGACTACGTCATGTTAGACCTATTAGACCTAAAAACCAGTGTTGAGAAATATTATTGTTGACAGCTTGATTTTTTTTTTCCAATGCCAGTACTGAGGTTACAAAGAATTTTAGTTCTGTGATATGCAGTAAGAAAGACCTACTGCACTGAACATAACAATAAACCATTTGAATAAAACTTCCCTCCCATAGGATGGGAGGACAAAGGGAAGCTGCTGTGATTTAAAGCCTGATGTATAGAAGTGTGGGGCATGGGGGACTGCAGTGGTTTAGGTGACTTATTAAATATGTTAACTCTGAGCACTTGACCTACAACCTTAGTTCCCATTTAAAACTGTTCTTATGCGTGTATTCCTTGTGTTTTTTTAAATGAAACCTGAGAACGAATTTTCTAACATGATACGCTGGTAAAACATGTGAGCTTGAGTATGCTAAAACCTGACTTCTATCACTTAAAGGAGTAATATAAGCAACTGGTTGCCCTTCACAGCAGTAAAAGGTGCCAGTGGGGCTTCAGAGGTATCTTCAGTGGATGAGAACTTCAGGTCCCCCATCAGGTCACCTTGCTCAGTTTCTCTGACACATCTGATGGGGTTAGGCACAGGTTTCTCCTCACCTTCTTTCAGTCTCTTGTCCAGTCTGTGCCAGTTCTTCTGGTTGCAGCTTCACCAGTCTCCTTGTACCAATCCTCTCTCCCCCAGTACAAGGGCCAGATCCATGTTCACATGTGTGGTGCTGGCTACCATGAGAGCTCCTGCGCTCTCCCCGCAGCTCTGTTCTGATGTGTGGCCTTGTTTCAGCAGGCAAATGGATTTCATGCAAAATCTGGCTTTGTTCCTGTAGCCCTCCTGCATAGTGCAGTGCTAGAGAACCTCATAGGCAGATGACAGCCCTGCCCGCAATACTTTCTCCACCACAACCTGAGTGGTGAAAGCACAAAACAAGGCAGAAAGTGTATATACGAGAAGAAAAGTCTTTATAATGGAATGCTTTGAGAGTCCTACCTATGCAAAATCTGCAGTGAGAACTGCAGTTTTTCAGAAAATGAGGGAACAATTAGTTTAATTTCTTAGCCTGCAGTCTTAGTTCTGCATAGTGTAAAGTGACTACATATTTAATATGTTCTGTTTCTTTGTTTCAGATTGCACAGAAGCTGAGGCAGGCACTCAGCCGCTTTCCTGTGATGTAGAGAATAAGGAATAGTCAACAATAAAGAACAACTCCAAAGTGCTTTTCTGATTTGGGGGCAATGCCAATAAAAACTTGTTAGCTTTTGCCAGCCAAAAAACCCCACCAAAAAAACCCCAACGACAGCAACAACAACAATCAGTTGTAGAAAAAAAAGAATTATTTAAAATTTTACTTCATCAGCCTAAATCATAAGATAAGTTTCTCTTATTTTGAATGCTATCCCATTTGTAACATTATTTAAATAAAAACAGCTGATAATTTAGATCCCTAAACTGACAGCATTATCAAACTGATATGTTGCCATGGATTTAATGCAGGCTTGCGTCTTATCAGATGTTCTTCCAAAAACTCTTAATCAACATCAGAGTTACAAATTTATATCTTTTTTTTTAAGTGGGAAAGCAGACAAGCTTGAGAAAATTACTTTAATACTCATTATATTCAGTTCAGCTCTCTAGCGATTCAGTAGGCAGGAGGAATTATATTCGTGTATGTTTCTGGTACATGTTCCTGGTAATCTCCTGAATGAACACTTTGTTCTAAGTTTTGCTTCCCATACGCAGCCATGGCATACTGCTCCCGTTATGACTTCTGGTAAATATAATTCATTCTTCCCTTTCTTTTTTTCCTTCTAACTAAATCTTGTACTTGCAGCACACCACCTCAGAGCTTATGTCAGGCTCTTTCTTTCTCGCTATGCACTGTATAAAAAGACAAAGTACAAACAAGGAAAGAGCCAGTTAGAAGGTGTGAAGAAGTTTTCCATGCCAGCACTTTGACACCCCCCGGTGTTAGCCATAAGGCGCTGGTGCTCCTCAGTGCCGTACAGGGCCAGCTTCCCTTTTACCCCTCTGAGAGTTTTAGGTGTTTGAGCAGAGGGGACACTGCCACATCTAACCCGAACTAGTAGAAGTCCCCAAATTCCAACTAAGCTCAGGTCTTCATGTAGTAGTATGGTATGCTATTGGATTGGGTTTACTTTTTGTTACCTTCTAATGCAAACTGAAAGGTGACAAAAGTAGTGAATAACATCATCAGTTATCACGCAAACTCTGTGCTTTAATCGTAATCTCTTATCAAGTGGCCCAGCGTCCTCTTTCATGCTACTGAAATATCATCTGAGGCCTGGGCTTTTCAAAACGAAAAGCCGCCACCAACCCTGTTCACAGCAGGCACCAACTACAGTAATTCATTTAATGCCATAAGCAAGCAGGAAAGCCAAAATGCAGGTTTTGCTAAAATGTGCCTAGAACATAACCATTTTAGCAAAAAAAAAAAAAAAAAAAAAAAATTAAAAAGGCATTTTGCCAATAAGCCATGCTAAGTGACGGGTACAGTCTGCTGGTTGAATAGTTGCCTTATTCTGTTTTGCATTGGTGTTACTTCTGTGTGCTAGAAGGAAAATCTGGGTCTGCCTGAATAACCTGAAACCAAACCAAACAAGACTAAGCCTAAGTCTAGATGCTTTTCAGTGTCACGGGTTTTGTTCACGTTTTATAAACCTTGGCTTTTTCTCCTCCCAATTTTAGTTGATCGCTTCCAAAATTCCATAGCGCAGTGTTGTTTGATACAGCCATTTAAATATGTACAAATTGTAAAGAATGTGTATAAATGTTTTACACCAAATGTAAGATCTGCTTGCATGTAGAAGCAGCTTATATAATAAATTGTTACAATGTGTACAGTAAATTCTGAAATCACTTTTTCAAGCCAGCATTTTTTTTAGCATTTGTATATTCACTTTTTGGTAATGAAATCTCTTTGTAACAGACTCTTAATTTGGGAGGGGGAAGAGGGGGGGTCTTTTTACCAATCTTTAAATAGCTCCGTATGCACTAAAGTTGAAGGTTCTTTATCTTGAATAGATTATTTTGGAATCTAAGTGTAAGCTCTGCATTCCCAGTGCAGGGAAGCTATGACAGTAGCAACTGTATCAGAGATGCAACATTTTGGCAAAAAAGAAAAACTGTTTAAAGACTTCTAGTAAAATGAAGTTAAACTGATAATAAATATTTATGTATATCCACAAGACTATTTTATTTTTTTCTTTGAAATCATCACATTGCTTTTTAACAGGGTGATGCAGTAGGAGGCAAATCCCTCCTTATAGCTTTTCATCAGCTTACAGACACCGGCCAGCTGAGGAATGAGAAAGCATCCATGTGGCTTCCATAAAGCAGGCATCACAACTGAACGGTATAATAGTGCTAGTGACTGCAAAGCAGCAAAGGCTACGCATATGTTGTAAGCTTTCATTATTCAGGTCAGTCCAGCTCGTGGTTGATGGAACCCTCCTGACTGCAAATAAGTAGTAGAGCACAGTGCTACTGTGTATTCCTGGCCTTGTGTCAGGATGGTGTTGACCCAGAATAGAAATTAGATTGTCTTTGGTATTTGTTTTTTTAAATTAGACATGAATGGTGGCATAGTTAGGTTGGGTGAGTCGGGAACAACAGAAGGGCTTCACACTGAAGATGCAGTCATAAAACAAGAATAACAAGTTAGATTAAGACTTGAGCAGGGCCCTCTTGAATTGTGTTTGTCATAGCTGAATAATTAATCTCAGGAGTATCAAAAAGCCTTAATACTGTTTCCTGGCTTATGCTTTCCTTGAGGGTGAGGAATAGCCAAACAGTGGTGTTATCCCAGTGACTTTGTAAAAGATGTCAAATGCCCTAGCTGTCGGCTTTAACTTTTAATTTTAATTGCTTATTCCATTACTGCTAAAATACCAAATTCATTCTTTAACAATAAAAATGTAGCTATACAAAGGGGAATGCTACCTGTACGTCAGCAGACTTTGTTGTTGTGGCAATATATGGTATGTCTTTGGAAGAGTACTGTCTACTGCAATGAGGAGTCGTCGTCTTTAATGCTATAATGAGGCCTAACTTTGCATGAGTACTGAAATTTTTACATTACTGAGCAATTTCTGTTTTCTGTGACAAAGTACTTGACAAAGTAGTACCGTATCATACACTTTATTCTGTAAATTCTGATTAAATAATACACATCAATTTTACTGCTACCAAAATTAGTTTTGTTTAGTGCAGCAGAATAATTCAGACTAACCGCCTTGTAAAGAAAGAGATGCCTCTCTTGTGCTGTGGGTCTGTTTGCCGTACACCAGACACTCTGCCAGTCTGGATTGGCCAAAAGGACTTTACGGCCCCATGGTGTGCAGCCGTCCGCAGGAAGCAAAGTGCTCACTCGGTAGGCATCCTGCTGCTGCTGCTGCCTTTCTCAGTGCTTCACGCTGAGACGTGTGAGCATGCTCCAGGGGAAGGTGAGTTGGGGGGGGGTCTTCGGTTGGTTGGTTGGTTTTTCCACTCTACATACTTCCCATATATTTTTATAACTCTTCTGATAAAACTAACACTAATAACTGATATAATAACAAACAAGTACAGAACAGAAGAGGCAGCCAGTTGGGCAGAAAAAAAACTTTTTTTCTGTGTGAAGAATCCCTAACAAAAACAACGTCATAGAATTAGAAACATACAGACTGGCTAGAGACCAATCCACCCATCCTGTAGTGTGGCAGTGTCAGTTAGACCCATACTATTTTAAAGGACATTGGAGTCACAAGTACGTACTTTCTTGGAATCCTGGAGGTTCCACAACATGCCGGCATAGCCCTTTCCAGTAAATCAGCATGTTATCACTTAAAAAGCTTTCCCTTATACACATCATCACTTCTGTAAATTGTATACAAAATGCTACCTTTAAGCTTGAGTTTTTGTTAACTAGAACAGATAACCAACATATCTAAGAATTTTTACATATTAGAAGTCTTACCACATGCCTTCAGCAACCTTTTTAACGTGAACCGTGCTGGGTTAATAATTCTTTCCTCATGTTGAAGTGTATCACCGTTCTTCCCTGGGTGCATAAAACTAATCTGGGCTCTTGCTCATGCCAGTCCTGTTAATGCATGCCAGAATGAGGACTGTAGCTCTCGCCCTTCCAGTAGAGTCACGCTGCCAGCTCATCGGTTTATGGTATTGATGCCCATCTTGCCCTGCTGTGTTGCTGCCTGGCTGCATAACTTCCATACAGTGGTCAAATACTATACAGAGAGCTTTGTGCAGCTATCACAAACGAAATGTAATTCCCAACCACATTGTCAATTTATAATATTCAGTTCCATCTGTATTTGCAACCCAGACCTGGTTGGGGTCATGCAGTGTTTTTTTTTTTTTGCTTTTAATAAACTTATGTTATATTCCACTTATTTAATAGACTTGTAGTGTAAGTTTTCAACTCATTTTATGCACACCTAGTAGTCATCATATTTACAATACATTCTCTTGAATTTGTTCTGAGATTTGAATGTGAGAAATTTGTCAAAATTATTTCTAAACCCCTTCCATTTGCATCTCTATATCCCCTGTTTTTAATTAGGCCAATCTTCCAGTCAAAGGAGGATATTTGACTATTTGACCATTTGCACAGATTCTTCTCAGCAAACTTGGGTAGGCTGGTTTTTGCCTTCCCCCCCCCCCGTGGCTCTTTGCATATCAGTTGTGACTTTGGGATCTTTGATACAAGTCAGTATCTTTGGGATACTGAATTTAAACTGACATAATTTCCTTGTTTTATAAAGGCAAAAAATGTGTTTGCTTATTTTTAATCTTCTGGGCCTTTTAATCTTTCCTAATTGGTCATACTTTTTTAAACTATCATTTTTTTGCCTTCCTTCAGATTCCTGCTAGTGTGCCTACTGCCTTCCTGC